CGCCGCCGCCGCCGCCGCCGCCGCCTGCCGACCGTAGGCGCAGAAGGTCGTTAGGCGACGCGCGCCCACCTGCCCGCCGGAAGTGGGCGGCCGGCCGACCGGAAGGGTCGCCGGAAAGAGGGGCCGCCACTTCCGCCGGGTGGGGGCGGGGCCGGGCCGGGCCGAGCGCCTGCCCGGCCACGTCCCTGTGGAGCGGTGCTGGGGCTTTCGGGACCACGCTGCAGACCAGGGAGCCCCGGGGAGCAGAAGGGACCCGTGGGAGGCTCTGGAGCCGGGGAAACCGTCGCGGGCCCGCGGCCCGAGCCTTTACCTCTGCGTGCGCGCATGCGTGGGCCCGGGGCGCTCAGCTGTGAGGCGCAGCCTGGGCAACGGGCGGCGAGAACTGAGCGAGTTAGGACACGGGCAGCCTTCGCAGGATTGCCTGCGTCTCCTAACGGCAGCTGCCGGTACTTGATGGAATAAACGCAGTGCACACCGAGTGGCATGGAAAGGAAGGGCTTTAGCCCCGGTAGGAAGCTTAGGGGAAAGAACAGGAAACAGCCCTGGATAAAATTGATTTTCATGCAACACTCAGCCTGGAAGATGGTCTTTTATCACCTCGCTTCAGGAAAATGTAAAACCACCTATCAGCCCGTGAGGGTGTTTATATAGCCAGGACATGTTAAAAAGAACCATGTCTCTGCTTTTCTGCAGCTGGAAAGGTTTATTTAACTGGAGCAGAGCTAGAATAGAACTAAATCTTTCCCAGTTGGTGCAACTACATTGAAGAATGAAGTTTTCAGCAACTGAAGTCAAAATGCCTAATAAGAATGTATACTGTCACATTTAATAGGGAGAAATGAGTGACTCAATGCGTTACAATTCTAGCTGTTGCTAAGCAACAAGGGCTCTTGTTTTGTCTTCTGGTCTGTTACTGCCCTATATTTCCTTTGGTGGAGAAAAAAGTACTTTAAGAGGAAAAAAAAAAACACTTGACATTTAGCCAAATCAATAACATTATGTTTAATTAACCAATTCTCACCTATTGGACATAGGAGAGTTTTGTAGTTAAAGAGTCAGCAGAAACAATTTGCAGTCATCCAATTCTAAAGAGAAAGGCTATGGCTGTAGATTCACCTGGAAAGATAAGTATCTCTGAACGGCCCATTCTTTCAAGAACAAAGGCTGTTGAGAATATAGATTACCCACACTACTGTTGTCTCTTAAGAAAAATGAACATGCCTTTTGTGAAAGGAGTTGAGGACAGACATGACTATGGCAGAATTGAAAAGAAAGGCAACCCTACTTTTCTTAAATTTCACCCTTATCCCCCTTCAGCCATGCCAGACTATCATTTGCACTACCCTTATCCCCCACCGTATGGGCCCGATTACCCGTTATTTCCACTGCGTGATGATGTACCCTTGGGTGATCCCTGCTCGGGGTTTCTGAGTCCCGGTGGTGATGCCGATTTAAAGCCTGGCGTTGGCAGAACCATACCAAGCCTGGTGGATTTTAGTGATGTGAAACCTCAACATCGAGTTCCTAGGCCAGACACAGGATTTCAAACGACACTAAAAAGGCAAAAAAAATTATTAGGCGAACTCAAACAAGACAGGAAATGGAATTCCAGGGCAACATCAGACATTTCCATCAGAGCAAGACTTGGAGGTAAATAAAGGAACATGGGCTTTATAATATTTAAATATTCAATTGGTTATTTAGGGGTGTGGTGTTTAATTTTCATATGTTGATGGCTAGTTTTATTCCATTTTATCTATTTCTAGTTTCATTCCGTGTGGTCAGAGTATGTGATTTCAGTCCTTTAAAATTTGCTAAGTTTTGTGCCCTATAATATAGCCTAGTCTATGGATTGTTCATGTGCATTGGAGGAAAAATGTGTATTTTACTTGGGTATTCTGTTGGGTGGAGTGGTCTGTAAATATCCTTTAGGTCAAACTGCTATTGTTAAAGCCCTCTTTTTTCATATTGATCTTTGTCAGGTTGTTTAATCCATTATTTAAAATGGAGTATTGAAGTCTACTGTAATTATAAAGCTGGCTATTTCTTTCTTCAGTTTTGTCAATATTTGTATCATATATTTTGAAGTTCTGAAGTTTGGTGCATATAAATAAAATAAAACAGAACAGAAAAGCATCAGAAAAAAAATCAACCAAACGTACAGTTGTTTTTTGAAACTATCAAACGACATCGATCTACCTGTAGCTATTTTGAAGAAGAAAACTCAGGAACCGCCCCCCCCAACAAAGGGTATTATGAATGTTTCAGAAAACCTATCTAACCACTAGAGGACAGAAAACACATGAATAAGAAAACAAGATCCACAGAATGAATAGTCTTTGAACAGTTCTTCTATAACATGGCTTTTGCCTTCTTTAAAAGCATTATATTATGGAAATTTTTTATAATAAAACTAGGGCCTTTGGGAAAATGATGTTCATGGCAGACCCTTCAAAACTCATACAATTTCATGGGTTGCATACAAAAATCCACTCACAGTAAAAATGGGATCAAAGTTTTAAGCATGTTAAATCTCTAATAAGTAAGGAAATACTACAGTGAGTTCCTTGATAAAAGACTTGATATTTGTTTGGCGGCATGGAAATGATGAAGTAAGATTGTGAGTTATGTAATAGCTGGTCTCAGAAGCGGCCCCCCGCAGTTCATTCCTTCTCGGAGTGTGCCTGCCACTCCCCTTTGTTGGGGGTTCCTGAGTTTTCTTTCTCAATACAGCTACATGTAGGTCAATTTTGTTTGGTATTTCCAAAAAACAACTGTAGGTTTAGTTGATTTTTTTTCTGATGTTTTTCTGTTCTCTGTTTTATTTTTTTTATACGCATCAAACTTCAGAACTTCAAAATATATAATGCAAATATTGACAAAACTGAAGAGAAAAATAACCAGCTTTATAATTACAGTAGGAGACTTCAATACTCCATTTTAAATAATGGGTGAAACAACCTGACAAAGATTGATATGAAAATAGAGGACTTCAACAACAGCAATTTGACCTAAAGGCTATTGCTACATTACTAGTACAGATACTAATAATGTTACAATCACTAATTGATCATTAATGTCTAATAAACATGTCAGGCACTTGAACTATACGTCAGCAACTTTACCAAGCTCTTCAAATGCTTGAATTGTTGTTTTCACAACTCGGACAACAATCATTAATGGGAGGAAAATGATTCCGTGAAAAGGTCCGTGAGGCGGCGCTGGCACCTGAGTCAGAAGCCCTGACGTCTGCTGGGGTCTGTTCTGGAGCGCCGCCAGATTGGCATCACCCCAGTGCCCGTGGTGCCCCTGTGCTGTCCCACACCCGTCCCGCCGGCCAGCGCACCCGGGCCTCGACATCTCCGCACTGTCCACCTAGCTCCTGAATTTGGCCAATTTATGGGACAAAGCTAAGAAACAGAAAACCAAAATTAGAAGCCCTCCTGGGGTGGCAGAAGGGCTCTCTTATGAAAACTACCAGAGGCGTGACCATTATCTTCACCTACGCAAGTTCCCTGTCCAAACCAGAGTAATTTGCCAAAGTTATACAACTCTGACTAAAATGCTGCAAGGGCAATCCATCTGGATGTGAAGTCCAAGGCCTTCGTGTCCTGCCTCTGGCTTTCCTCTGGTTCATTTTCCACTATTTCCTCGTGGCCATTTTATGATGTAGCTCTATCCAACTTTCGTAATTTCTTATAAAAGCTGTGACGCTTTCACAGGGCAGGGCACGCTGTCAGAGCTACCACTGCCCACGCTGCTTCCCGGCCTGGAATGACTGTCCTTCCTCTCCTTCCACTTTGTTACCAAGTCCTACGAAATTGTCCACAGTAGATCAGGTGTTATATTCAGGAAGCTGTTCCTAATTCCCCGCAATCTGTCTGAACTATAATAGATTTTCCTCCTCTGCACCCCCACAGCACTCAGAGCTCAGCTATTACTACACTCACCACATCAAAATGACATTATCTACTTATGTGTCTGCCTTGCCTGTTTGTTCATGAACACCTCAAAAACAGGAACCCCATTTTCCATCTGTATATATTTATATTCTTCTGCTTCCATTTATGGTGCAATAAATACTTGTTGAAGGTAGCTTTTGTATTTGAGAATCTCAGGTCTTCTAATTCATGATTTGATAAATTACCTACATAGTAACCAGACTCCTTTGTGTCCCCACCACCCCCAACACATCTATACACGCAAACACAGGTTCATAGTACCCAACAGGTCTCTTCCTATAGTGAGTAATAAATAATAAATAATTCTACACTATTATAATAACCATAACATGTAAATTCTAGAGCTAGTCTGTTCTCACTGATGAGAAAAAATTTTAGAATTGAACAATCAATTAACACCACGCATTTTAGCTTTCTAATAGGAAATATTTCTGGTGGAAGAACTATATGTTGTATTTCTAACCGAAAGCACGTACAATTTTGTTTTCAGGTTGGACAAGCCCGGTGAAAGTTACTCCTTTACAGCACCCACATGAAGGTTGCTCAGTAAATCACTCCTACACATTTGAGGAGGAAGCAACATGTACGGTAAGATTTCTTAATTGGATGGTGTAATACGATGTTTGCAACTAATTCATGTCATTGTGTATTTGATATTTTGAGCCTTGTGCAAATAGCTACCATTTATGAAATATGTCTTATGTGCCAGGCACTGTGCAGACTTCACAGCCATTGTCATTATCCTGTCATCCCTACAACTATACTCTGGGGGATGACTGAGGAGTAGACGCTGGCAGTGCCCAACCCAGACCCTCATACTGGCAAGTGCACCCTCATCCAGTAGCAGGGAGTGACGGCCAGCGTGACAGCCACCAGCCCCGGGGACCCACCCTCCCACACTGTCCCCTCGACGCTGGCTCACGACTGACTGACTTAGCAAACCACAGCTCGTCTCCCGCTGAGGCCACGTGCTCACTGCGTCCATTCCTTGTCCTGTCCTCCTCTTGACCTAGAACAATCCCACAATAGATCACTTGACCAAAACTCCTGGGCAACACAGTGTGGTTACCCCCATTTTATTTGAGAAAACTGAAGCCCAGTGATGTTAAATTACTGACTTTTGACCACACAGATATGAAATGTAAAACCAAAATTTAAACTTAGGTACCTTTCTGAATTTAAGGTTTATATTATTAATCATTTTCCTATGTGGATTTTATAGTTTCTAAACTCTAGATATTTAAATTACTTGAAGATGTCCCAAAGGATACACAGATACGAGAAGAGTATTTTTAAACAGCTTCACGCACCATAAAATTCAATCATTAAAGTGTTCATAGTTTTAAGGATAATCATAGTATTCTTTATGCCTTCTAGGATGATGGAGAACCACTGTTACAGCCAAACAAGAAATATAATGCAAAGGATTCATTTTATAAGTCCTCTACACAAAAGTAAGCATTTTTCCCAGTGGAATTTTGATTTAAAATATATTTATTTTATATTTAATAATACGCCCCCTTTGTATTTACATTATCCTGGATCCTATGGGATATTCAGAGACCATCAGATACAGATATTTAGTTACTCATGTTGATTGCTAAAATAAACAGGTCATATATTTGACCCCCTTTACCCTCAATACATAGGTGATGTATTATAGAATGGTACACTTGAAACCTAGATAATTTTACTAACCAATGCCGTCTCACTAAATTTGGTAAAAATCTTAAAAGATAAAAGTAAAATAAACAGGTCAAGGATGAGTCTTAAAGAAAACCTATGTTTAATAGAAGAATAAAACAGAAGCAGAAATGGTCAAAGAGAGAAGAGGAGATGAGAGAGCAGCGTCACGGAATACAAGAGCAGAGAAAGCTGCAAGGAGCATTATTGTCCTCAGTCCAAAAGTAGAGACCTACTATGTGCCTACGCCCTGGGTTGCACGATTCATCAGTGAATATAGCAGACAAACAGCTTTCCTCTCAAAGAGCTCTCGTCCTACCAGGAGATGGAAATAAGCAACAAATATGGTCAGGCATTTCCCCAGGTATAAGACGCACTCTTTTTTGAAAAATTTGGGGTCTAAAAACTGGGTGCGTCTCATACAGTGGTTGTAGATTTTTTTAACTTGCATTTCCCGCTTTTTTCATGCTTGTTTTTGCACTCATACAACCACTGTAATAAAACCCATTTAAGTTTTCTTGGGTCATCTTTAGTTTGCATGAAGGTAAAAATGAAGGCATTTAAAAAACTTTTACTTCATGCTCATTTTGTGGGACATGGGAGGAGGTAAATTCAATTTGTACATTTACTTATAAATTCTAATGCAAAATTATACAATTTTTCCTGTAAACAATACAAATTTTTCATTAGGGAGCATTTTCTTTCAGCCTGTGTGTCACTCGACAGGAAAAGATAATGAGTAAAACAAATTGTTGAAAGGCTCATGGGGCTGCGCTGTGTGAAGTTAGCTCCCCTGGACAGAAACGTTTTTCTGGTCAGCATGCATTCCAGGTTTGCAGGGCAAGGTTACAGCAATTCTCTGAGCATACCACCCCATCGTAAAGCGACTTCACAAAACGGGAACACAGTTATTTTACACAGTCCTCTGTGTGTGTGTGTGTGTGTGTGTGTGTATGCTGTCACTCCATGACAGCATATTTATGTTTTCCTGAAGAGCATTGCTCATTTGTGAGCCTTCATTAACTTGAAGTGAAATGGTTAAAAATATTTATCCCGTTAGAACAGGCTGCATTTTTAATTAGAATTGTTCATCAAAAAACAAGTGAAACGGAACTCTGGCTTTTGAGACGACTCCACTAATTCACGTTGTTTACCAAGCTGTAGTATGTTAAGAATCTCAAAAGCAAAATAAATTTGGTTTACATCAAAAAGGAGAAATACACGATATGGAGCTGGATTTCAAACTCTTAGAACTGAGAAAGAGCACTGAATGAGACACCAGCAGGCTTGAGTTCCAATGACAAGACCCAGACACGCCCAGCTGGGTTCAGTGCTGGGGCTTCTCAGGCTACAGCCAAGGTGTCTGCTCGGGCTGTGTCCTCACCTTCCGAGATCATTCGGATTGTTGGCAGAATTCAGGTTCCTGATTAGTTTAAGGGCAGCTGAAGAGTGTCTACTGCTTTTCTGTCTTTTCTTAGGGTTCATCTGTTTAAGTCAGACCCGCTTAGGATAATCTGCCATTTGATTAACTCAAGTTTAACTGATTAGGGGACTTAATTACATGTGCACAACCCCTTTTGCCATACAAAGCATCACGGGAGTCACAGCCCATCCCGCCCACTTGCTCTGGCCACACCTGAGGGAGGGGATGACCTGTGGCGTGTACACCACGAGCAGGAATCTCGGGGACATCTCAGAATGCTGCCTACCACAATGACTGCACCAATTAATAAGTACGTTTCATAAAATGTCATCATTTAATAATCCCACAGAGCTTATGAGCGTGTTCCCTGGGACAAGATGCTACCACCAAAACCCGACCCAGAAGAAACTAGCTTGGAAAAAGCTGCTGACCTTCTCTCACAGTGTTTTACGCTCCACAGATATGAGAGGGTCCCGGCAATAACTCAGGTCAGAGAATGTCCCAGAAAACAATGTATCTATTACTGAGCTCTAAAAATTTTAAGTCACAGTAATACTTATTTTATTGTTAAGAATTATGGAAAGAACGTACATTTATGGAATTGAAAATGCCATAATCATAAAAGTCATCAGTGACCTCAAGTACTTTAATATTATCCATATTAAAATTAAAAAAGAATTATTTGAGACTACCTCTTTCTCAAAAGTCATTTGTATTGACTGTGTTTATTTTAAAAATTGCAAAAGAAGGAGTAAATAATGAAGAAGACACAGATAACAGGTTACTATCTCACCACAGAACCTATGCTGAAACAGGTTTTGAAATTGAATCTAGAACTTACCTCCATACTTTTCGAGACAGAATGGGGAAACGCAAGAATCACAGGGCTCTTCCTATGTAGTAAACAAAGCATTCCCACTTGTCCATGAAGACGCCCATTCTTTTCATTTCTGAACATCACGTGGACGACTGTGTCCCCTCCACGGCCAGGGTGCTTTACCTAAACTGTGGATCTCGCCGTGTTACTCCGCTGATACGAACCCAGCACTTTTTATAAAGCAGAATCTACACTCCCTGACACGGCGCATGCCCAGTCCTCCCTTCCCTGCACCGCCACCCCCACTAGCCTCTCCTTCGTCTGTCCCTTCCTCCTGCTCGTCCGTCCACCCCCAAGCATCCCCACCCCGACTCCATCACAGCACAGCCTGGGCTGCGATCCTCAGCTCGCGCGTGCCGCCCTCAGGCCTGGTCTTCGCAGATGGTGGTGCACTGCCTCCTCACTCGGTGTTTTCCAAGCCCTTCCGAGCTGATCCTAGACGTCTCTTTGGCCCTCCACACTCACTTCCTGTGCTTGTGAAGCTACTCCTACTGACACCCGTGTCCTTTTCTGCCATGTCTCCTTTCTTAGAAGCTTGACGCGCTCTGGGACTGCCACTCATAGTGAGGTGTTTTACTATATAGAATCCATAGGACTGAAAAGGAAACCAATTACATTGAAATACAGTTCTAAACATGGACCCATAGAGGCTCATGAACCACAGCTTAAGAAACCAACGTTGTGTTGAAAAACTTCTTCAGCTTTTAC